ACAAAGTCCAACACTCATTCATGTTCAAAGTCCTACAGAAAATTGGAATAGATGGCCTCTACTTCAATCTGGTAAAAGCCATTTAGGAAAATCCAATGGTTAACGTAATTCTAAATGGGGAAATACTGAAATCTTTTACTTTTCGATCTAGTCCAAGACAAGTCTGCCTTCTATCACCAGTCTTATTCAATATAGTTCTGGAATCATTTGCTACAGCCATTAGACAAGATGAAGAAATAGAAAGAATAAGAATAAGTAAAGAGGAAGTTAAACTATCATTGTTTGCAGATGGCATAATACTTTACTTGGAAGACCCAAGAAACTCCACCCAGAAGATACTAGAATAAATATAGAACAAACAAGTAGCAGAACTGTACCAGGTTTTGGAACAAATGAACTTAGTGGACATATACAGTGTTCCAGCCAACCACTGCTGAATACACACTTTTTTCATCTGCACATGGGTCATTTTTTAAAATAGACCATAGGTCTCTTCCATAGGTCATGCTTAAGTATATGGAAGAAATCATCCTGCATTTTAAAATAACAGTTATTTATGGGTAATAGGTGTGTAGGTTCAGAATGTTAAAAAAGCACTGCTTCTTCATTTATGAGCAGCAGTCATATTAATTTGTCCACACATGACAGAATAAATCACCCTCAGGTATTTTCTATGGGAATTATGTATCTATGAAAACTTTACCCTCAATTTTGCACTTGTTTTATAAAGCTTCCCCACACCAGCCATCCCTAATGCCACCACATCCATGTTTAGGCCTTTCAAGCATGGATTTGTGATGGAGACACAAGAATTAGGTTCAGAAGGCATATTAGACAGCACCGGATTATCAGAGACTGAGACATTTCCCTAAGAATCTCTATGCTCTCTACACAGGATTATACACAAAAGCTACCAAAACATGCTTGCCTTCATTTTTACCATTGAGGAGATCAATAGGAATACTCGTCTTTTACCCAACATATCTTTGGGCTATGAGTCCCATAATTCCCTGAACAGTAAAGGGAATATATTGGAAAATGTCCTAAGATTGCACACAGGACAAGATGAGATCCCAAACTACATGTGTGGGGGAGAGAGCAAATCTGTAGCATTACTGACAGGAACATCAGCAGCAACATCTGAACAAAGTGCACCACTGCTGGAGCTCTACAAGTTTCCACAGGTGAGTGGGGATGGATGAGATCATTTCTCCTTTGTTATCTTTTTTGAGTCCCTTTAAATGGTGAAAAGATGGAACTAGACTTATGTATCACTCAACGTGTACAATCTGAAAAATGTTCATAGACTTCTAATTTTTAACACATTTTTACTTTTTTTTTTTCGGTAGCGGGAATTGAATTCAGGACCCTGCACTTGCCTGGCAAGCACTTATTCTACTGAATTATCTCCCAGGACCCTTCAAAATTATTCATAGAGATCAGTGGATTACACAAACTTTCTTTGTAGCAGAGGATAGGCAGGGGCAAATGTAAAGAATTTTCCTGAAAGTAAAATTCTAATCAGTTAAATTCTAAAAATAAAGCTTTCAGGAAATGACATGAATGCATACATGGGAGAAATTAGCATATTTTCTTGCTGTTATGCATTATATCTAACATTTTGTTTTATGTCAATTCTCATATCACTTCCCATTGTCTTCATAGCTGGCCTTTGGCTCTTTTGATCCAGTCCTGAGTGAGTACGGCCAGTTCCCTTCCCTCTATCAGATGGCTCCAAAGGATACTTCTCTGGCCCTTGGCATGGTCTCCTTGATGCGTCATTTCAGCTGGAACTGGGTGGGACTTGTCATCACAGAAGGTCCAAAAGGGCTTCAGTTTCTCTCAGATATGAGATCAGAGATGGATAAAAATAGGATCTGTGCAGCATTTTGGAAGATACTCAGTAGTTCTTCTCTAGTATATGCATCAAGTTCACCATATGATTTTTTAATTAGAGAAACATCCTTAGTAAAGGTTATTTTCCTTTACTATGATACTGATGGTGTAAATGATATAAACCATTATATAGGGCTACATTTAGTGACACAGATAGTCTGGGTGACAAACTCACAATGGCATGCTGACATGACGGGGAAAAATTTTATATTGGACACATTCCATGGGATTCTCATTTTTTCCAACCACCACGAGGAAGTTTCTGGTTTTAAAAGCTTTCTCCAGCGAGTCAAGCCATCTAGCTACCCTGCAGACATTTTCTTGCAGCATCTTTGGTACTCCAGTTTCCATTGCTCATTGTCTGAGTCTGACTGTGTTTTGGAAAACTGTGCTCCCAATGCCTCCTTGGCTCAGTTACCTGCAAATCGTTTAGAGCCGGCCATGAGTGATGCGAGTTACAATATTTACAATGCTGTGTACGCTGTGGCCCATGCCCTGCATGAGATGCTTCTTCGGCAATTAGAGATGCAACCAGTGAGAAACGGGTCAGGCATCGTGACTTCTCCCTGGAAGGTAATGTCTCTTCCACTAGATCATACAAACTGTTATGAAAGCTTGCTCATTACAAGCTTCATATGAGCTCCATACAAGTACTCTAGACTCCTTTTACAAAATAACAAGTAATTCTGTACTAGTTTCACTGTTTTTGAGATTTGTAGATGTCTGTAATACATCACAGTGACATTAATCTAGGAGAAATCATTAATGTACACCTCATACATTGTTCAGTTTTATTCCCATTTTTCCTAGACCCCTTTCTCTTACTCTTTCCCCATATCCTCTTTCCATTTCCAGACCATAAATTTCTGTTCCTTACCTTTCAATGTTTTCATTGCTGATATATTGACACTCTGATTTTAAAGATACAATACTCTACGTTATTTCAACTACTGCATCTTTTTTGTTTCACATAGTATAATATATGACCTCAATATCCATCTACCTCTCTGAAAATATTGCAATAATGTCCTTCCTTATGGCTAATATTCCATGATGTATTTATAGCACATTATTTTGTGTTGTGCTACAGTTGCTATTTGGTTTTAGAACCTTTAAATTTTTCTTGATTTTTTTCTCTGACCTATTGAGTACTCAAGATTAATAACCTATGTATGTGTATAATTTTCCATAGATTTCCTCTAATTTCATGGTACTATCATCTGATAGTATTCATGAGACTATCTCCATTTTTTATGTTAGAAAAGCTTTTTTTTGGCCAGCCAAATACCTCAGCGATTTAAAATGCCTGCTTAGGCAGACAGGGGTTAGGAATTCGGGGGCTGGGACTGCAGTGTCAGCCTCATCCCAGGGGAGCAATGAGATGGCAATTGAGACTGGGTGTAGTAGCACACCTGTAATCACAGCACTTTGGAGGTTGTAAACAGAAGGACTACTATGAGTCTGATCTATGCAGTGAGACTCTGTTCATGCTGCACACCCTGTTCTAAATACAAAGAAATACTAGAAAAGCTTCATGACTTCAGATGTGGTCTATTTTAGAGCAAAATCTGGCTGCTGCTAAGGGAAGGTCTGTATCTGTTGCTGGATAAAATACCCTGGATATGTGCTACATGTATGTTTTCAATGAAATTTTATTGATGTTTTGTCCAATTGACCTTTCTATTGACAACAGTAGGTACTGAAATCCTTCACTATGATTATGTTGAAGTTTATCTGGCTATTTTTGTCCATTAGTATTTGTTTTGTGGCTATGGGTGTGCCACCATCATTTGTACATATTTCAGCAAATGTTCTCTCTTCTTTTTGAAATATTTCCTTCACTTGTAGTCACTTTCTTTGTTCTGATCAGTTGTTCTCTGAAGCCCACTGTTTGAAAAAATAAAGTAAGTATGCCCATGTTCTTGTGGATTTGTGATTCAGCCTTTTACTTCTAGTCTATGCTCTTTATTTTGCTTTGTATTTTTGTGGATGAGTGTGTCATTTGCATACAAAGGATAGCTGTCATTTTTTTTGGTGGTACAAAGGATCTAAGTCAGGACCTATTACTTGCCAGGCAAGCCCTTATTCCACAGAGTTATCTCCCTAGGCCCAATGGTTGTTATTTTGTATTGAACCTCAGTCTGTGTTTTGACTAGAAAGTTATGATCATTTACTAAAAGTCTTTTCCTGAAACTTCATAGTATTATTTTCTAATTCTTATTTTCCTATCTTTTTCCTCTGTTTATTTCAAGTAGATCTATTCTGTCTTGTTTCCTTCATGGTGATGATGGCCTTACTGTCCTTATCTATCAATGCAGATTTGATGCTTATGAATTTTAACATATACATTCTCATGAAAAGTCTTTATTTCTTCATATAATATGAGATACAGTTTTGAAGGGTACATTAATCAGGGATATAAAAAAGTTTCTGTCTTTCAAGACAGTGCAGATTCTCCTGGATTTTAAAGTTTCTCTGGAGTATGTGTTATTCTCACATGCTTCCTTTTAGACATTACTTAATGGTATTCTTTAAAAGGTACTGCATTTCTCAGTGTGCTGAATTTGTGACATGCCATGGGAAATATCTTTACTGGTCATGGTTATTTGGGGTTCTGCATGCCAAGTTTTTACTAGAAGGTGAATAACTTTCCCTAAATTTTGAAATTTTTCATCTGAAAATTTGGCGAATAAAGTTCTTATGTTTTTTTGTGTGTCTTAAATTCATGTGTTCTAAACTCTTATAATTCTTGGAATTTTGTTCTCCATTTAATATTTTAGTTTCCATATTACATGAAGATTATGTACACCACAGGGAGTTGGTATATGTACACAACATCTTCATTCTCATTTTCATCCTATTTCACTTTCCTCTTCCCTGCTGCTTAATTGTTTGATACCATTTTCTTTTTCTTCTTTTTTTACCTTTTATTCTTTTATTGCTTTTATTCACAACTTAATTACAATACAATCTTGCATCATTTCTATTCTATAGCTATATTGTTCTGAATTTTTCTTTCCTGATCAAATTATAATTGAACAAGATTCTTCCAAATTTATATGCTAATATTAAAAAATGCTAACATACTGCTTTATATACATTATATTTATTATATTTTTCATTGATTGTGCTTTTTGTTTTCTTTTTTATTGAAGTTTTTATTGAGAAACAAATAGCAATGAGACATTTTCAAAACTGATTACTAGCACAATTTCAATAATTTATACATTGCATATTGTTGTCTTAATGGTTATTCATTGTACAAGATGCAGACATGATATCCTGTCCACAGACACTATTAGAACATATCTCTCTATTTTTTGAATTAAGAGAATGCAGCTGTATATCTATCCTAACTATTTTGAGTACACAGATACAAAATAGTCATCCATTTGTATCACCCTTTTTGGCTGGATTTTTCAGAGAAGGGAAATCCATTGTCATTTAAATACTGTAGGTACTTGAATTCAGGAAAATATTCCAATACAGGCAAGTAGTCAATAATAGTAATAGATTTTCTGTAGGACAAACAATGGGAGAGGTTGTTGACTTGAAGCTTTTACAGCTCAGCATATTAATATGCCTTTACTTTTTATACTTTTATACCTTTATGCTTCATGGTTAAGACCAAGATCAAGCAAGATCTATATAACAAGAAAAGTAACTTTTGTATCTGACAAAGTCAGTCAAATCCCCAAGGATTTATCCTAAAACCCTGTACCACAATGTGTAGATCGTTTGTCAGCCATGTTTATGAGTCATGGCCATTACTTGATCAATGTGTTCTCTGTGAAAGCCTGAGAGAATGTTTTCTCTCCATATGACTCTCCTTAGGCACACTCTACATTATTGATCACTTTCTACTTTGGCCCCATTATAACCTTAATAAGAAAATTTGGAACACAACTGAGTTGCATGATGTTATAGTACAGGTTGTCCCATGTCCTGAGTCTTCACTGACCTTGAAAGGCTGTGCCCAAAATGTTGGCTATCCTTGCAGCCCTTCTTTTCCTCTAATATTTGGTCTGCAAACTTAATTTGCTAACCCTGCAGAAGAGAAACTTATTTTTATTACCCTACAACCTAGGCTGTTGAGCTTAACCTCACTATGTTTCTGAGTATCAAACATCTTGTGTATAATATGGAACAGGTATTCTTCATCAAGTATTGATATGTTAAACTTTAAGTCCTTACAGGTATGAGGAAAAAATTAAAAGATATTAAATAAAAGGAATAAACAATTATATATTTTTACACATAAGTTTATAAATGTAACCATACACAGCAATGTAGCAGGACAGTCCCACAACACCCCTTTTCCTGTCTCCTGCCTTCATTCACCACCCCCTTCCTTTTTAAACAAACATCTACCCGAGAGACAGCATGGCAGCAACCGGCATGTCATGACAAGCGACACGTATTCAGAAGATCAGATTGACAGGTATTCCAAGCATGATGCTACTGTTACACATTGTCATTCAGTGCAGTTGCTTAGATCACAGGTATCAGCATAAATAGTAGAGGTGAAAATCTTCCCAATTAACTGCTAGATACAAAAACCTTCTGAAGATTCTCAGGATCATTGCCTTACCCGTCTTGTACACATAAATGTATGGCTTTGATCCTGTCATGTTTCCTAGCTTTTTTCCTTGCTCTTTCTTTATTGTGTAATCCTCAGGTACTCACTTTCCTTTCATTGCATTGTACCTTTCTATTTGTGTTTCTTTTTTAAAGTTCTTGTACTAGGGAGACTATTCAATGTTTACACATGTTGGTTCGGTTTATTTCACTTAGTATAACTTCAAGAAGCATCCACTGAAATATAAAGGCTTTGAGTTTATCACTCCTTATAGCTGAGTAATGCTCCATGGTATAAAAATACATCTTTTTTATGCATTACTCAGGTGATGGGAATCTTGGTTGTTTCCAAGATTTAGCTATCACATGAGGTTTTCAGTTCCCTCGGAAATATTTCCAATAGGGGCATAGTTGGTTTGAAGGGGATTGATTTACAGTTCTAGTTTTTAAGGAGTCTCCAAAATGATTTCCATAATGGTTGCACCAGTCTACATTCCCACCAATAGTGAAGAAGGGTTCCTTTTTCCCCACAGCCTCTTCAACATTTGTTTTTAGGTGATACCTTTAGGATAGCCATTCTTTCTGGGGTGAGATGTTATCTCAATGTTGTTTTAATTTTCACTTCACGGATGGCTAGTAATGTGGAGCATTTTTTCATATATTTATTCTATTCTCTAGTTTTGTTTTCTGTGAAGTGTGTGTTCATCTGCATGCCCAGTTGGATTGAGTCTTTAAATTATGGCCCCCTAAGAGTTTTCAGTTCTTTATAAATTTTGGAGAGCAGACCTTTGTCTGAGTGCTTATTAGTTAAGATTTTGTTTTGAAATTTGTGTGTTGTCTTTTCACTTTGTTGGTCATTTCTTTTGACGTGCAAATCTTCTCAATAAGAGGAGGTTCCAGTTGGTTTTTCTTTCAAGAATTACCTGTGTAACTTGATTTTTGTTCATGAACTCTTTGCCTTCCCCTATAACTTCATAGTTCCTGCTACTTTATCT